CCCTATAATATTTGCATGTATGAAAAAATCCACATTAAAATACCGGGTACATTTCAACAGTTTTGTTATTTCCATTACCAGTATATTTATACAAATATGATATATATATTATATATAAAGAAAAAAAATGTGTGTGTATTGAAGAGCACTGGCTTAGAATGATTTGAACACTTTACTGAGTACTCATTTCTCATTGGCCTTCCTTCGGGCACGCCCACATATACAACCAAAACCATTAATATACGTTCCTCTCATACAATGTGTTCCCGCTCTACTACGAAACACGGGAAAAAAATATTATCTGCAACAGGATTGCCTACAACTCTCTGGATTGGATGGCATAGATTTTTCATATGTACATTGATATTAATGATATATTAATTAATAAAATAACAATGGGAAAAATTGGCATATTGATAATTGTCATTTTCCAAACAAACATATGATGAGTCATATATACAGCACAAACAATATCCTGTTATAACCTTGAATATAAACATTATATTGAGCTATCTTTGACTTTTGTTTTCCTTTACACATTCAGATACATGTGAGACAAAATAAAAAAAAATACAGATGATATTAAAGTATAAATTTCACATTTCTGCTTATGAAATGGAGGTCCCATTTCACTTTAAAATATAATACCGGTACAATATTATTTATTCTTTATGGTGCATGTACATATATGAAATAAACTTTGCAGTTTAAATTGAATTAAAAATGTGAAAAAATTACATAAAAGGCTATTTAATTTGCGCTTACATACAGGCTAATAACATCTTCAACTTGTAATGCAAAATGATGCATTTTACTTATTCACAAACACAAATCAAAGGCCTGAAGGGCCTGCGAGTTGACTCGCTCGAGTCAATTGAGCTTTTTCATACATATGGGCACCATACCTTAATATATTCAGTTTATTTTGCATCTTAAGAGATTGAATATTATATGTCTGATCCATGTTCGGTTCATAAATAAAGTGTATATTGCTTTTCCTTTATATATACAGGTTGGCACTAATGGGCTTCCGTATTATTTTGACTGGATTCTATAATGAATTTCAGCACATTAGCTGAAGTGGTCAGTGTTATGGGATAATTAGGTTAAAGATTCCCACAGCAAATCTGGATTCTAAAAATAGATTTTCAACAACAACTAGCTGCAGTTAATGAGAGCATCAGGTGTTTGTGTTAGGGAGTATTCTAGGTCAATTATAAATAAACTTCAGATGGGAAGATTAGATCCGCCTAACATGCTTGAACATATATTCATACGCAGTAATTTTACATCATACAGGTATTTAATAAAAAATTTCTTTAAAAGCATGAAGGAATAAATATTGTTACAGTATGAAATTTTATACAGTTTTTACCTCTTAAGTTTATACAATCACTCAAACCAAAGCATTTTTTGCTAGAACTATTATATTTGGCGTATGGATCACGTTGATGAATGCGTGAAAAATTTTACAGCTCTGAAACGGCTATGTCGACAGAGAGTAGCTCGCTACGCGAGCCAACTCAAAAATGGTGAAAAATCTATTAGAATATATGTGAGGATGCAGTTTGCAAAATGCATGAGATCATGTATGAATCCAGCTTCACCCAGTGAGCCTGTCTGTGCTTGACTTAGTTTAGATTATGTTTTTATGTCTGTGGTATATGTTAGTGTGTTTGCATATGTGTCCAGCTTCACAAATTTTCATGTATGTGCTCGACTTCACACGCCTTGGAAAATATGTAACAGGTTGTGGCAGATGCATGTGTATTTGTGTATGTGTCCAGCTTCACACATTTTCATGTATGTGCTCGACTTCACACACCTTGGAAAATATGTAATAGGTTGTGGCAGATGCATGTGTATTTGTGTATGTGTCCAGCTTCACACATTTTCATGTATGTGCTCGACTTCACACACCTTGGAAAATATGTAATAGGTTATGGAAGATGCATGTTTGCATGTATTCAGATATGTGTGCTCGATTTACATGTCATCAATGTAAAATATGTAAAAATGGTGGTGTAAAACATTCACTAGTGTATGATGCACACAGAGAAAAAAAAAGTTCTGTGTGTTTTGTTCTGCAAGAGTGATCGTATAAATAAACTACAATTATGTCCTGTTGAGAAATTGACAATCATAATAAGTAACATATTCATTTTACATAACTATACTGAAAATTACACATCCAATTTAAATTACTGTACTGAAAATTAAATTTGTGCAAAACTCTCTTGCTGAATAACATTCAAAATCATGAATGCTTGCATGTTCATCTATAAATCTCCAAGATATTTCCTAGTTAGTTTGTAGCGCCGCACCGAGCGGTCTTACAACACATTTCATGTCAGTTTGCATGAATAAATTAATTTATCCTTGTTCCTCATATCTTGAAAATAGATGCCGAAATTCTAGTCTACAGTTTATTTACACAGCACATCATAAATAGAAACATTCAGGAAAAATAATTCACAAAAAATAAATTCAAGTAAACAATCACATGTACATATAAATCCAAGAATTATTATGTAATAGTCCAAGTAAGTGAGTAACTTTATCTATCTCTAACAGTTCTACCTACTAAGTCTTCTATATTTCCATCTTCCTATCTTATTCTAAAATTCTGTCGCACTATATATATACTCAAGATCCGTTCCTGACGATCAGGAGTACATTACAAGATCCTTAAGATCAGGAGTCAATACACAGGTCATTACAATCAGCAGGGGGGTTAGATAAGAGGGGGCGATTAATGTACAGATAAGATTTATAGCATAAGTGTAGATGATAATGTGTGAACAATTAAGTAAGGAAGAGTGATTTACAGATAAGATATTTTAAATCATTACAAGTTTACATATTCTTGATCATATCATTGTTAAGAGTATTATATTCTTGATCATGACATCTGTATTGGATTCCCCTCTCTGACATCTTTTCTTGTTCACCAATTAGTTCAACAGTCATCTAGGCACTCAGGTGTTGTAAGTCCTAATAATAATCATTTTCAAAATTATAAAGAAAAACAATACAATTTTTAAAGAGGTTTTCATTACTTCTATTGAAATTAAAGCAGAAGCTTTTGAAGACATACTTAAGTAACTTAAAACATGTATAACTAAACATAATGGAAATTTAGACATTGCGACTCAATGTCAAACATATGATAGTGATACATCTGTAATATCCATGAAACTTACTGAGATACTTAAAATGTTTGTGGCGTGCTTTCACTAAGCTATGCAATATATAAACATTTCTTGATTACATGTTGAAGTCCAAGGCTTAAAAAATAAAATAAGTTTGTTTCCTGTAACATTCCCAAAACATCAAGGGTCGGCAGGTCGGATATTTTTTTTTTTTTTGCTTATGAATGGTGAAACATCCCCAGACTGAAAATACCAGGTGTTATATTTACAGTGGACACCCAACATGGCATCCAAAATGGCTGCCTAGCGACAGAAAACAAACTTCAGAAAGTTGTAGGGGGAAACTGTTGTTACAATAATGATTACTCTTTATATTTAAGGTAAATGTAAACTAGGTTGACATATTTTATGCAGAGTTCCCGAAACTAGTCAAAAATATGTCGGACAATTGTCCTGTAAATATTCAAAATTCACCGGACAGTTGTAAAATTTACCGGACATTAATTTTTTGTATGTAAATTTAACATATTATAGGATTGGAAATTGTAACGATATAATAAATAATATGTGTAAATAAAAAGATGGCAAATGCAGATTTTTTTTTTTTAAAATTATTAAAATATTTTCTATAAGGCCTGTGTATGCAGGATTTGACGTCGCCGATGGCGTGTGATGACCAACGCTTAATTCATCGTATAAAATTATTATGTCCTTTCTGACAGATTTTTTTTAATTTTTTTTTTAAATAAAATCTGCAACATGACAACTCTTGGTTGATTGTTTGGAATTAGTGGGAAATATATGTTGTTTTCCAGGCTTTTTTATTTTGGATTTTGGTATTTTATGTGCCAGGAAAAATATTACGTAAAATATCAAACTCGTTTTAAAAAGCCTGGAAAACGTCCGATATTTCTGACTAGTTAAAATTTATTATACAACCTCCACACAGTTAAAAATATGTACTAATGATATAAAGATATGCAAATTTATCATGAAAATGATGATTTTAAGTGAATTTGTTGTCGTTTTACTACATTCAAGTCAGTCCGCTATTTTTAGAAAAGGGGAAAAACGCGCATGTATTTTAAATGCTATCAAATACATTAAAAAAAATCCAGAAGTTGGTATAATATTATCATGCTAATAGATTAAATTATAGAGAAAATAATAAATGGTAACAAATTGTCTGTAATCAAGCAGAAATAGCAGGCAACTCTTGCAACCCTGCAAATTCGTCCTTCAAAACGAAAGTAGATTGTCACATTTTTTTACTGTCAGAACTACAGAGTGCATATATTTATCAGAGGGAAAATATTTGTTTGACAGTGTTTTTAAAACTGTTTTTCCTCCCAGACTTATGGAAATTATTATTTTAATATGTAGCTTTTTATACTAGACAATCACCGTCTACATTTTATTTAAACAAGATCTGGCGCGCCCCTGACGTTTTTTCATTCCTTTAGTTTTGCATTTGTTTATTGTCAGGACAATTGAATTAAATGATTTTGTTAAGATTATATGTAAACGTTATACAGTCTGTAAAAAAAACCATCGGACATTTTGACCGATAAAATTAAGATTTTACCGGTCCCATTCAAAGTTTACCGGGGATCCCCAGTGGACCGGTGCGTTTCGGGAACTCTGTTTATGTCTCAAATTAAAGTACAAGCTATTGTTTTAATTTAATAAATGGAATCAGCTGATTGATCAAACAAAGTTTTGCCATTTGTCAGGGGAAAAAAATCCACCCAGGGATAATTCGAATGGGTCGGTCGGGTTACAGGAAACAAACATAATTTTTTTTAGGCCCAATCTTCACCTGACTTGCACATTCATATGGATTGGTTCTATGCTGATAATCCCTTTCAACAATCTTCATCACAACATCTGAAAGTCACCTTTCTTCAAAATTAAATCTGCCGCTCACCTCAAATGTATCTAGACTCCCTGTACAAATGCATGGAAAATAAAATTTTGAATAAAAAATCATGTAGTGAGTATCCAGCAATGGTGAAAAAAAATTATCTCTAGAATTTTACATTTATATTGAATGAAAAATGCATTGTTCCCTCTACTTAAAAAAACTCAAAAGACATTACCTAAAACGGAAATAAGGTACAACTGTGACTGGTGTCTCAGGCACAACCAATAAACACACGACCTTTCCATCCTTAGCAGCATGCATTAGCTCCACATTCCTTTTTTCTACAAAAAATATACAATGAAAATTTAAAAAAATGAGAGCGAAGAGTGTTACATGTACTTGGGGGAACAGAGGAAGGAATTTTGAAGTCAGATTAACTATATTTCTGCCAGTGTTGGGACGGATAAATTTCCATAATAAAATGAAACGAATTATTCGCAACAAATAAGACATATGTATTACCTTGCAGTCACCATTGCACATAATCATTATGTATAAACATTTCTTGATTACACGTTGAAGTCCAATCCTCACCTGATTTGCACATTCATATGGATTGGTTTTATGCTGATAATCCCTTTCAACAATCTTCATCACAACATCTGAAAGTCACCCTTCTTCAAAATTAAATCTGCCGCTCACCTCAAATGTATATAGATTCCCTGTACAAATGCATGGAAAATAAAATTTTGAATAAAAAATTAATTATCTCTTCACCATACCCGGCCTCTTTAAAAAATGTGAGAAAATAATTTTAATACTTTTCTTTAGAAAAAAATCATGTAGCGAGTATCCAGCAATGGTGAAAAAAAAATTATCTCTAGAATTTTACATTTATATTGAATGAAAAATGAATTGTTCCCTCTACTTAAAAAACTCAAAAGACATTACCTAAAATGGAAATAAGGTGCAACTGTGACTGGTGTCTCAGGCACAACCAATAAACACAAGACCTTTCCATCCTTAGCAGCATGCATTAGCTCCACATTCCTTTTTTCTACAAAAAATATACAATGAAATTTTTTTAAAAATGAGAGCGAAGAGAGTTACATGTACTTGGGGGAACAGAGGAAGGAATTTTGAAGTCAGATTAATTATATTTCTGCCAGTGTTGGGACGGATAAATTTGAGTGTGACTAAAATGGGTAGCGAAACCCGGGCCGGGCCGGGAATTTCAAAACTGAGAGCCGGGTTTTTGATAATTACGAGATAAATACTCATTCTTTCTTCATGAAATTTACAGACATAGTTTATAAGTATAGGTTTTGCCTTTGCTGAGAATTTTAAGTCAAAATGTTCTGTTTTTCGATGATTATCGCCGATTGTCCTTTTCCAGGTGACTAAAATGGGTAGCGAGCCCGGTTTACTCATTTTGGCGATTTTAAGCTTAATGCATCGAAAGTGTTTGTGATATTTGCATTTAATGGTTGTTTATTAACTTCAAATCGTTAAATTGTTCAGTCATTATGAAATTAAATGTCAATTATAAGGGTTTTTGTCATTTTTCATAGACCCGGGACAGGTCAAAACCAGACGCGTTTGCCCGGGACAAATTATATAATTCCGGATTGCCAGAGAAATAATTTAGAATTTTTTCAGTCCCTGACCGAGATACATCTAAGAAATAAATTGGAAAAAATTAATATAAATATGCAAATCAAAAAAGAGTCATGTATATTTCAATTATATGCCATTATCTTATAAGTATTTCGGAAATAAAGGTTTTTCCCGGGTGAACGTATCCGGTTTTGACCAATCCCGGGTACACAAAAAATGCGTGTATTTTCAATAATCGTGATTTATTATTGCAACGGTTAAATGTTTTAAGTAGTTTAAGTTCAATTCCAAAGACCCAAATGAAATAATTGTAAATATGCTGCCGAAATTAAGTTTAAATCGCCAAAATGAGTAATCCGGGCTCGCTACCCATTTTAGTCACTTGGAAAAGGACAATCGGTGATAATCATTAAAAAACACAACATTTTGACCTAAAACTTTCAGCGAAGGCCAATCCTAGAATAATAAACTATGTCCGTAAATTTCATGAAGAAAGAATGAGTATTTATTTCGTGATTATCAAAAACCCGGTTTTCATTATCGAAAATCCCGGCCCGGCCCGCGGGTTTCGCTACCCATTTTAGTCACACTCGATAAATTTCCATAATAAAATGAAACAAATTATTCGCGACAAATAAGACACATGTATTACCTTGCAGTCACCGTCGCACATAATGTATACATACAACTGACAACATCCCAAATCCCTTTCTTTGTTGTTTACTTGGCGGAATTTTCTTTGCCTTCTAGACTGGTTCCCTGTTCTGGTTCCCATACATTGCCGTGAATAAGTCCTACGTTTATTGGTTTTGTTTACAAGCTTCAATATCTATAAAATCTCCCGCACATTTACAGTCTGTATTGTAAACTACTAAAACATACTTTTCACACAATTTTCAGCCCAGTATTATGTTATCCTCTTCATTCAAATAATATGTAAACTCTTCTCGAATGTAAAACGAACGATCTACTCTGATAAGTAACCCAAATATGGCACTTTGTATTCGGTTGAATAGCCAATCATTTCAAGTCAAGTGGAGCGGGTCTGCATCGCTATTTTGACGAAGTTTGCAACCTGTGGTAATTTTTTGAAACCTCATCTAGATTTAAGGAGATTCTTGTCTTGACAACTGCTCGAACTCCCGGATTGGCATGCACTGCAAGTTTGTTTACGATTTCCAACCGTTTTCACTTTCAGCATAGATCTGATTGTGCATAAATGTAGTGAAACAAAACTTCGCTGTATATGTTATTTACTGCCAGAATGTTAGATAAGTATTTTGATAATTTGGGGATTAAATGTTTATGGGTTTCAGTTTTTTTCTGTAAAGGTGTATGTCTCTGGAATATTAATTTAAACAAGACAAAGAAAAACAATCCTGGAGTGGGACTAAAATGAGTAGTTAAAACCGAGCCGGGCCGGGAATTTGAAACTGAAACCGGGTTTTTGCTAATTACTGAGAATATACACAATCAGTTGTCATAAAACTTAGTTACAGATGTATTTATGCCTAGGTTGAGAGTTTCAACACCGAAATTGACAAATAAGTTTATTTTATTTATAACATTTTGTATTTTAATTGTGTCCATTTTGTTAAAATACAGGTTGAGTGAAATCAGTATGCAGATTGTGAAGGGAAAACATCAAGACGGGGCGAGGAAGATGACAAAACATGATTGAGGATCCCAAAGTTCTTTGGTACAAGCACATTTTTAAAAAATCAAATAATAAGTATCGTGAAATGTTACTTGAACAAACATTTACATTATTTAGTGCTTAACTTACTCGGGAGCCATTATATTGTCAAATGTATTCGTATAAAATGTTCAATTTCTTTTGTATAGGCTCAAGCTACTCAGCCTACCATGAGAAAATTAAAAGATCTGCCATGAAGAAGAGGCGGGTTCTCAAGTTTCATATTATAGATGGCAAGTATTGTTTAGATTTAATTTAAAAGTATTCTTGATAAAGAAAGGGTGTTTGGCTGTTCATAGCTATTAACTGTGATTGCATTGTGTATGAATTTTCAAAATCAATTCATTCTTTGGTGACCGTGTGCTTCAAAATCATAATTTTTAATAAAAATACTGACTATATATTTGTCCAGGTATATAAAATGTTAATCACTGTATGAATTCTATTTCAGCATGATTGTCATCTTCAATTTGAGGGACTCTCACCTAAAGTCCTTTTACTGTTTCATATCAGGAAAAAGTTCATGAGCAGAAACACGCTATTTGGGAAAAAGGTACATATATCCTAAACCATAACTTGAGTATGATTCTGTACACATGTACAGCTAAGCTAAATATGTAGCACTATTTTGTTCTTTTTGTAAACTGACTACTGAGTAGTCAGGAAAATCTATCATTTCTTTATGTATCAAGGATTTATTCTTTGATTGTGATAAGTACCCTTAAAAAGTACATAATTCTCTAATTTTAATTTTAGGGATTAGGCTTTTTAGCTCACCTGAGCTGAAAGCTCAAGTGAGCTTTTCTGATCACATTTTGTCCGGCGTCCGTCTGTCTGTCTGTCCGTCTGTCTGTAAACTTTTCACATTTTCGACTTCTTCTCAAGAACCGCTGGGCCAATTTCAACCAAACTTGCCACAAAGTATCCTTGGGTGAAGGGGAATCAGGTTTGTTCAAATGAAGGGCCACGCCCCCTTTCAAGGGGAGATAATTGGGAATTAAAGAAAATTTGGTGGCATATTTAAAAAATCTTCTTCTCAAGAACCACTGTGCCAGGAAAGATGAAACTTATGGGGAAACATCCTCAGGTAGTGTAGATTCAAGTTTGTTCAAATCATGACCCCCGGGGGTAGGGCGGGGCCAAAATGGCCGACCAAAGTTTTACATAGAAATATATAGGAACATTCTTTAAAAATCTTCTTCTCAAGAATGACAAAGCCATAATTCATCATATTTATATGGAAGCATGCTCAGGTAGTGTAGATTCAAGTTTGTTCAAATCATGACCCCCAGGTGTAGGGCAGGGCCAAAATGGCCGACCAAAGTTTTACATAGAAATACATAGGAAAATTCTTTAAAAATCTTCTTCTCAAGAATGACAAAGCCATAATTCATCATATTAATATGGAAGCATGCTCAGGTAGTGTAGATTCAAGTTTGTTCAAATCATGACCCCCGGGGGTAGGGCGGGGCCAAAATGGCCGACCAAAGTTTTACATAGAAATATATAGGAAAATTCTTTAAAAATCTTCTTCTCAAGAATGACAAAGCCATAATTCATCATATTTATATGGAAGCATGCTCAGGTAGTGTAGATTCAAGTTTGTTCAAATCATGACCCCCGGGGGTAGGGCGGGGCCAAAATGGCTGACCAAAGTTTAACATAGAAATATATTGGAAAATTCTTTAAAAATAATCTTCTCAAGAATGACAAAGCCATAATTCATCATATTTATATGGAAGCATTCTCAAGTAGTGTAGATTCAATTTTTTTCAAATCATGACCCCCAGGGGTAGGGCAGGGGGAAAATGGCCGACCAAAGTTTTTAAAGATATATATAGGAAAATTCTTTAACAATCATTTTCTAAAAAATAGCAAATCCATGATTGGTCATGGGACTACTTTTGGATTTAAACTTTACAATAAAAAGCCATTTTGTACTTTTTCCTACCCTTAGTGCTCAGGTGAGCGATGTGGCCCATTGGCCTCTTGTTGTGATAAGGGATACATAACCTAACCCCTTGATTCTTCATATAATATGTCAATAATAAGAGGTCCACTCATCTTATTAAATTAATACAATTTTTATTTTTAAGGTTAAAGGTCATGTATGAACTTTTTATTTATTAGTTAGGTTGTGCATTGTTTTTAGTTTTATTAATCATGGTATTGTGAATTCTGATAACAGATGCCTTTGAAAATATTCATACTTATGCATAGCACTGAAAATATACTTATAGATTTTTTTTTCTTTTAGGAAAAGCATTAGAAGAATTCCTGCATGGGAAGAAAAGTTTTGGACTCTGAAAAGGAAGATGTGACAAATACATTTTGACAGTTATTGATTTCCACTGAAACCAATATCCACAAGAAAGAGGAACATAGTAGTTTAATGTTGATTCACAACTTTAAATTCAAGAATGTACAGTTGGTTTTATTATAAAACATGTCACGTACGAAAAACATTTTCGTGAAATGTACTCTGTCTTCGATACTTATTTATGTGTTTGTGATTTGCAGGATAGGATG